TGTGTGTGTGTATGTGTCTGTATCTGTGTGTGTATGTGTCTGTATCTCTGTGTGTGTGTGTATGTGTCTGTATCTCTGTGTGTGTGTGTATGTGTCTGTATCTGTGTGTGTCTGTGTGTGTGTATGTGTGTATGTGTCTGTATCTGTGTGTGTGTGTGTCTGTGTGTGTGTATGTGTGTATGTGTCTGTATCTCTGTGTGTGTGTGTATGTGTCTGTATCTGTGTGTGTGTGTGTCTGTGTGTGTGTGTGTGTATGTGTCTGTGTGTGTGTGTGTGAGAGTTTTTGTGTGTGTGTGTGTGTGAGAGTTTTTGTGTGTGTGTGTGTGTGTCTGTGTCTGTGTCTGTGTGTGTGTATTTGGGGATTGGGGAAGGGGTAGAGTTTAAGTTGCAGAAATAAGGACTCTTTACTTTCCATCGATCTTCTTGCAGTCGAATACATCGCAATAAATAGCAATTTTGTTTTCTGTGACCAGAGAAACCCAGTTTCCCTTCATTCATTCACGGGATGAGGGTGTCGCTCGCTTGGCAGCATTTATTGCCCATCCCTAATTGCCCAGAGGGCAGTTAAGGGGCAACCACGTTGCTGTGCGTCTGGAGTCACACGTAGGCCAGACCAGGTAAGGATGGCAGTTTCCTTCCCTAAAGGGCATTAGTGAACCAGATGGGTTATTCCCGCCAATTGACAACGGATTTGTGGTCATCATTAGATTCTTAATTCCAGATATTTTATTGAATTCAGATTCCACCATCTGCCATGGCGGGATTCGAACCCGGGTCCCCAGAACATTATCTGGGTCCCTGGATTAACAGTCTAGGCCATCGCCTAGTGGTATTATTGCTTTCGTCCTGAGTAGTCATTATTCAGACAATTCGATCATTTTGGTGGGATTCGATGTGTTGAAACATTTTGCAGGACTCGTGAAACAGTGGGGCATGATTACCAGTGACCGCTTCCCAGTTAAATAGCGACAATTGCGAGGGGAATGGAGTATACAGTCTGAGGGAAGTTTTAGTACAACGGTGTAGGAGTTTGGAGAGACAGCTCTAGCAATTTAATGTGCATCCATTTAAGCCTTTGCTTTAAGTTTGGGGACAATTTGAACAAGAGGTACCGAGCAGTCTGTGGTAACAGTAAACAGCTTGGAGGGTTTCTTTTTTAAAGTTGGAACAATAGAAGCAGCCTGGCTGGGTGTTGACCAGCTTTTAGATTTCTGTTCCCCCCCCTCTCTCAGTTACAGCCAGGAAGCTGGGGCTTCCTTTCCTCCTGCATGTGCGAAAATCTGTGTTCTTAATTTGTTTTTTATTTGGCCAAGGGGAGTATTTACGGGATGCCACCAGAGTGCAACAGTTAATTTGTATTGGTTACTGTATCTATTATTCTGTTCAGTTTTCCAATAGAGTTTGGTTATTCAAAGTTCTTCATTCTTTTGTTGCAGCGCTTTGGAATAAATTGTGTTTTGCTTGACGTTGAGTAGTTCAACCAGCTGAATTACATCTGGAACATGGTACTTTACACTTGTGTTAAAAATAAGAACAAAATAAGGGTCTAGGCTACTTTCTTAAAATATTTTGAGGGGTTCGGGTTCGGTCCACAACAGGAGGGGCTGTGTTGTTTTATTTTTGTGACTTGTGTTTTTAAGTGAGTTTGAAACGACAAAGAACTGTTTGGAAACCCAGGGATTTACAAGGACAGCTGCATGTTTTCAAAGGAAGGGGTTAGATGACTGTGTTTGCGAAGCCCTGGGCTCCTCCAACGTGCAGATGAACCAGCGCCGAGATATGGGTCTGTCAACAGCTCAGTGATCAGTTGTCAGGCATCTGAGCAGCTTGGGTTGTAAACAAGACACAGAGAGGATAGGTGAGGCCAAAACAGAAAACAGCAAGTCTGCAGCAGCTCTCTCTCTCGCTCTCACTTCCTCTGTGTGTGTGTGTGTGTGTGTGTGTGTGTGTGTGTGTGTG